TTCCCCCAGGCTCTCCGACCTGCTGGGAAAGTGCCAGAAAACCAAAGTGAGATCCTAGAGCACTTGACACAATTGAAGATCAATCTTCCTTTACTACATGTGATCAAGCAAGTGCCGGCCTACGCCAAGGTTATAAAGGATTTGTATACTATAAAGAGAAAGTATCATGTCAGGAAGACTGTATTCTTGACGGAACAAGTGAGCGCGGTGATTAAGCAGAAGACACCGCTGAAGTACAGAGATCCTGGCTGTCCCACCATTTCCTGCACCATTGGGACACGCGAATTCGGCCAAGCATTGTTAGACCTAGGATCGAGTGTTAACCTCATGCCTTATTCAGTCTACTCGTAATTAGGTCTTGGCGATATTAAGCCCACATCTGTGGTTCTGCAACTGGCCGATCGATCTATTAAGAGACCACGAGGAATAGTGGAAGATGTGTTATTGCAAGTTGATAAGTTCTACTATCTTGTGGATTTTGTTGTTTTGGACACTCAGTCAGTGGTTGATGTGGAGTCAAAAATCCCGATCATCCTTGGAAGACCATTCCTCGCGACAGCAAATGCTCTAATTAATTGTAGAAATGGTCTAATGAAGATCTCTTTTGGGAATATGACTCTCGAGGTAAATGTTTTCAACATTGTAAAACAACCACAAGGTGATGACGAGTGTCACCAAACATTCCTGATCGACACACTTGTCGAGGAGGAGGTTCTGCTACAAAGCAACTCTGAAGATCTTGAAAATCTCCTCCAAAATTCTGAATCTGAAAGTTCCGGTCCTTGTGAGTTGGCTAACATTTCTGCCATTTTCAACAACTCACAAGACAGAGGAATTAAGTTTAAGCAACTGTGTTTCGAGAAACTTCCACAAGGGAGAGAGAAACCAAAGCCTTCCATCGAAGAGACCCCAACAGTGAAACTTGCTCAACTACCTGAAGGATTGAAACATGCATTTTTGGGAGTCGGCGATACCTTTCCTGTTATCATTTCTTCCAAACTCGATGCATCACAAGAGCAGCGGTTGATCAACATGCTGTAAAAACATAGATCTGCATTGGGTTGGACGATTGCTGACATTAAAGGGATCAATCCTTTGATTTGTTCCCATCATATTCATTTGGAAGAAGGAGCTAACCCGTGAAGAGATCCTCAAAGAAGATTGAATCCAACAATGAAAGAAGTGGTGAAGAATGAGGTTCTCAAGCTATTAGATGCTGGCATCATTTATCCTGTTGCTGATAGCAAGTGGGTTAGTCCGACCCAGGTAGTGCCAAAGAAATTAGGGGTCACTGTGGTGGAAAATGAGAAAGGGGCTCTAGTTCCCACAAAGGTCGTGACTGGTTGGCGCATGTGTATTGATTATCGCAAGCTTAATGCCGCCACTCGCAAAGACCATTTTCCACTTCCATTCATCGATCAAATCCTAGAACGAGTGGCAGGGCATCCTTTCTATTGCTTTCTCGATGGCTATTCAGGATATTATCAGATAGAGATAGCATTAGAAGATTAGGATAAGACAACATTCACATGTCCTTTTGGCACTTATGCCTTTCGGCGAATGCCATTTGGACTGTGTAATGCACCTGCCACATTTCAGAGGTGTATGATGAGCATTTTTAGCGACATGATCGAAAATGCACGGAAGTGTTCATGGATGATTTGACAGTCTTCAGAGATTCATTCGACACATGCCTTCTCAACTTAGAAGCCGTTCTATAAAGATGTGAAGAGAATGGTCTTGTGCTCAATTGGGAGAAGTGTTATTTCATAGTATCATCCGGCATAGTTCTTGGGCACATTATTTCTGAAAGTGGAATCGAGGTCGACCGCTCTAAGGTTGAACTCATTTCCAACCTGCCCACCCCCAAGGCCGTTAAAGATGTCCGATCTTTTCTGGGGCACGCCGGATTCTACAGGAGGTTCATTCAGAATTTTTCATCTATAGCGAGACTGCTAAGCAACCTCCTAGCAAAAGATGATGTGTTCAACTGGACACAAGAGTGTGAGGATGCATTCTGAACACTCATCGCAAAACTGACTTCTGCCCCTATTATGCAGTCACCAGATTGGAGCTTACCTTTTGAGATCATGTGTGATGCAAGTAACTACGCTGTGGGGGCCGTTCTTGGTCAACGGAGGGAGGGGAAGCCTTTCGTTGTCTACTACGCAAGCCGTACTCTGAATAGTGCTCAAATGAACTACTCTACTACTGAAAAAGAGTTGCTTGCTGTAGTATTTGCTCTCGACAAGTTCCGTGCATATCTGATTGGTTCACCTATCACCATCTTCACAGATCATGCCGCCCTTAAGTACCTCCTTTCCAAAAAAGATGCTAAGGCGCGTTTAATTAAGTGGATCCTTCTCCTGTAGGAATTTGACTTGACAATCAAGGACAAGAAGGGAGTCAAAAATGTGGTGGCGGACCACTTATCTCATCTTGAATTTAATGATTCTGCCGAAATTCCTGCTATTAGAGATGACTTCCCCAATGAACATCTCTTTGCCGTCACTAAGATGCCATGGTATGCGAACATTGTTAACTACTTGGTGACGGGCGAGATTCCATCTACCTGGGGTGCACAAGACAAAAGGAAGTTTCTGGTCCAGGTTCGTAACTTTTATTGGGATGACCCCTATCTTTTTAAGTACT